ACTGCTTATCAATGTTATTATCATAGTCTTTGGCTTCTCTTTTGTCTATAGCTATCTATTGCAGCCCTGTCACTATTCCCTATTCCCTGTTCAGTGCTAAAACCTAGGCTATCTGAAGATTCTACAAAGGAAGGGATGAGTATATAAACTGAACAGCTATTGAACATTTTAAAGGAAGGAGGCATCTTTAGGTCACCCTGCTCCTTTTACACAGTATAAATTATTCCCGTAGATGTCAGACTAACTCTGATTTAAACAAGACAAGATTATTATCCCTTTCTTCTAGAAAAAGGAAACTGTCTAGTAAAACTAAATGACTTGTCCTAAATTACCTGGCTTTCTGGGAAAAACCCCAGTATTCTGGCTTAATCCACTGCTTTTCACACTAGACCATGCTATCCTTCAAAAAGGCCCTATGTGGAGCATGGAGCTTAAAATGCTATCTCATGCCATACTAAGAAGGATAGCTGCTGTTAGCTCCTAAAGTGTTTAAGTTGCATTTTTTTTTTTTAAGAGTTTATTTGACAGACACTGCGAGAAAGGGAACACAAGCAGGGGGAGTGGGAGAGGGAGAAGCAGGCTTCCTGCTGAGCAGGGAGCCTGACGTGGGGCTCGATCCCAGGACCCCGGGATCATAACCTGAGCCAAAGGCAGACACTTAACTGACTGAGCCACCAGGCACCCCTTAAGTTGCATTTCCCATCTATGTCAAATTCTTCAGTTACTGGGAAGCTGGGCAGCTTTCCAACCATGATTTCATCAGCTATATTCCTACATCTGAGACAGGACAGTTGGCCAATGTACACAGAGTCCAAGGATAAGGAGAGGCAAAAAAATAAACATTGATATTTGAATGCCATGCTAATATATAGAAGGTAACATGCAAATAAACATTTATTCAGTCATTTAAATGAGGTCTTTAATTGGGTTCCCATTACTTTAATGTCTTTGTTATACTTCCTAAAAGGAAATGTCAAAATTGTTACTTTCTAAAAAACTATAATGCAAATTTTTATCCTTAAAAAGTGAGTGAATGATTTTTTGAAAATAATTAGATCTCCCTGGTCTTCCTTACAAAGTATTAAATATTTGTGAGTTGTTACACATAGAACACATCATTTAACTAGATTTCATTCATTGAACAAATACTTGAGGTCCTTTTCTGGGCCAGGGCTAATGGATCAAATTTTAGGGATTTGGGGGCAGCAATGACATCTGTCAAACTAGAAGGGTAACTAGTCAAGTTTTGAATCCTTGGAACCTTCCATTTCTTGCTGACTCACTTAAGGTTAATCTTTGGGTACTACAGGCCGAGGGACTTTTGGTCATCCAAATCCAGCCTTAGTCTGGGGCCCTGACTTTGCCCTGAGGACAAAGTGTGAGCTGCACTGACTGAAGATATTTGTTATTGGTGAGGTGTGCCAAGCAGAGGGCCTCAATTACTGTGTTTGTTCCTTGTAGCCTGGCAATCGGAACCATTAGTGGCCACGCCCGGCACTGCCCAGACCTTTGTGTGATCTGGGTTGATGCCCATGCTGACATCAATACACCCCTCACCACTTCATCTGGAAATCTCCATGGACAGCCAGTTTCATTTCTCCTCAGAGAACTACAGGACAAGGTCAGGGGGCTGAAATGAAAAGGCTGAATGGCTTGCAGGGGTTATGCTGGGGCTTTCAGGAACTAGTTCAGTAAGATTTCTATGAAGGATGGGCTGATGGTGGTGGTAGGAATGTTTAATATTCCTTCATTTGTTCATCAAACATTATGGGCCAAGCAGTCTACTAATGCTAGGGATAAAAAGAGGACGAGGACATGGTCCCTGCTCTGGGGTGGGAGGGGGAGGGTATGTGTGTCATAACTTGCAAGAAAGGAAAGTGGCAGTGGGTAGTAACTCTAGTGATTGATATACCCACAGAAGGAGGACTTCTTGGTTAGAGGCTCCCAGGCCTGCCTTACTCTCAGACCCATTGGTCTAGAGGAAAGCAAAACCATGATTACCTCTAGGTAATTATTTTCCTAGGCTGTTCAGAAGACATGGGAGTCCACGTTAGGCATAGACTAGAATCTGTATATCCTTCCCCTCAGTGAGGAACCAAGTTAAACCAGGATAGTACAAAAGTTATTCATTAGGCAGAATTTGTGTTTTGGCTGTAGACAACTTAAGATGGCAACCGGGTTGTGTTTCAAGAACCAATGTGTAAATAATTCAGTAATGTACAAAGGGGTGGAAAGAGGCTAATCAGCAGTATTCCTGTTATTTAGGTAAGTTAATGAGAAACTGTGGCCACCTTAGAAATTTTTTAATTCTGAGAAATCTGTTCTTCAGCTGCCTTCTGAATCACTTCCACTTTTATAAGTTCTCTTTCCCAGATCAAGTGTGTCTTGTGTTAATTAAGCATATCCTGTAGGTAGGAGAAAGCAGACTGCATACATTGGGAAGCACACGGTGATTATCTTGGTGAGACCAAGAATCCTTAATGAATCCTGTCCATTCTTCTTTTGACAGGTACCACAGCTCCCAGGATTTTCCTGGATCAAACCTTGTATCTCTTCCCCAAGTATTGTGTATATTGGTCTAAGAGATGTGGACCCTCCTGAACAGTAAGTTGATACACTGGGGTTAAGCACTGGGTCTGTCCAGCCATTTAGGTTCCTTCTGATAGGTTGTTCCTTGCCTTAATCTCTTGTAGGTCACTAAACGGGACAAACCCCCACCCCAACATGCATTTGATTAAAAATGTTCTTTAAACTAAGGACTCCTTCCTTTATATCTCACACAGTTTTATTTTAAAGAATTATGATATCCAGTATTTTTCCATGAGAGACATAGATCGACTTGGTATTCAGAAGGTCATGGAACAGACATTTGATCTGCTAATTGGCAAGTAAGTAACTTACGATGTTTCCTTCCAAAGGGAAAAGTCCCAAAGGGAATAGGGCAGACTCTCAACGAGCAGCACACTTTAGCCTCTCTCTTAAGGATAGCAGCTTTTCTTTTAAAATAAAAGCAAAATATGTACACATACAAAAAATTCATGTGTCTCATGAATTTCTCTTTAGCTCCATTTTTACTGCCCATCTTTTGAAGATGGGAAGCATTCATTCAACTATTCCCTTCTTCCTAAGCTCACTGTTGCTTCATCTGAAAGTTTTATATTGAGCAAATCTTGGTAATATAGAAAGATGGCAGATAAATGCCAAAAGCTAGTTTTAAGAGCATGTTCTCAGTGCTGAGTCTTTATGGCATGATACTACTAGGGAGCAATTACATTTCTTAAGCTGTAAGAAATTTTAGTTATCTAGCATATATGTGTGCTAAACTGGAGTTAGAATTGGGAGATAAGATTACAGACACCAAATCAATAAGTTCAGCTGCTGTTACATGGAGAAAATAAGAGCAACTATAACCTAGGTCAGTCTAACTTAAACTAGACTCTGTCAGAGCCCAGTCTCATAGGGAAGTGAAGAATTGTTAATGCAAAAGGCTCTAATGCCTAGGTTATGTCAGAAATATAAATTGGAGTTAGTCTGAGGCACAAAAAACAAATGGCAAAATTATGAGGTGGTGCGTAGGAAGCTAATTTGGTAATACATAATAACTTCTAGAATAGGAAACCTGAAAATCTGTATTAGCAAAGTACCAGGACTAAAGCAACAAAATCAAGGAGTTGCAACTGTAGGAAGGATCAATGTCCAAGCACACCCAAATGACTTTTCATATCATCTTCCCCTCAAGAAGACAAAGGCCAATCCATCTGAGTTTTGATATTGATGCATTTGACCCTACCCTGGCTCCAGCCACCGGAACCCCTGTTGTAGGGGGACTGACCTATCGAGAAGGCATGTATATTACTGAGGAAATACACAATACAGGTAAGAAGGGATCAACCTGTTAACTCTAAGTAAATATGCTGATGCCTCTTGCATGCTGGAAGGTTTTTTCTACTATTCCATGTCATTACAGATACTGTTTTTGTTTAAACTTTAAAAACCACATGGTCAGGCTAATAAAGGATAGTCATTTAGAGGCATGTTTGGACCTGGGTCATATCAAAATATGCTAAGGTAGTATTGAATAAAAAATGGTCTACTTAAATACTTATTAAATACAAGAATAACCTGCCAAACCGATGTAGTTCTTTGCATCTGAATTGTCTAAAGGCAGACTCAGATTAAAAGGCAAGGCCAAGCAGCTATAATTTTTAGTATAGCTGACATATTAAGAGTGAGTTCTAGAGTTGAGAATATGGAGTTAAACCTTAAAGATATTTCAAAGCTGGACAATATCTTGGGCCTTTTCATAAGGGATAAGCCTTATATTAGAGCTTATTTGATAGGAGTTTTAATATGGGGATACTAAAGATGAATGGTTGACAAAAGATTAGTAAAATGAGTGCTAGATTATTAAGAGTGGCTACAGAGGTTACTGTTCCTACATTCATATTTGTTTGCAGTTTCCATTTCCATCAGACAGCTTCTAGTTCCTGAAGGTTATTTTAAATTACCTTTCCTTGCAAAATTTAAACAACTACCACATGATACTTCAATACCATTTCATGAAATTGGAGTCTAAACAGCAGAGAGAGCCCACAATGAAAGGTCTAGAGCTATGGGAAACCCTTCAATGGTTGGGATAGATAAGGAAATTGAGAAATGGTCTCTCTGGAGCCTACTGGAACCTTAGGCACTAAAGGAAGGAAAAGAATGCTTAGGTTCATCAGGTCTGACAGTGGTAAGATAGTCTCCTTCTCAGACCCACAATCTTAGATGTTATAGTTGTCTTTTGGTTAGTGGCCAGTGAACCTGTGTGTTCAATCCTCCATTTTGGTTCCCAATGACCCTACTTCGAGCAGAGGTTAGTAACATCTAGTAGTTAGATGGGGTAGTGGTCACACCTTGTCTCTCCCTCCGTTGCTACATTATTCTAGTCCAAAAGACTACCATGACACTTAACTAGCTACATAAAGCACTTTGCTTAAATTAGAGGGTGGCAATAGTCTGGAAGACATGGGTAATTACGTTTTTAATAGCTCCAACACTCTTGATTACTTCTGGGATACACCAAAGACTCAGGTTTAGTTAGTTGAAATGAGACAGATCATCAGACACCCAGATGCTTGCACAGTGGAAATGCTGCAGTAACATGCTTGGACTATGCACTGCTAATAAGGGATTGCACACTAAATAGATATAATGGCATTGAGTATACCATGTATTACACTGTAGTATCAATAAGCTGGTAGGTATATACACCCATGTTTCCCGGCTTTATGGCTACCCTAAGTATTCTGATACTTGTATTCTCCAATGCTAGTTTGTTCAGATGACTTGAAGAGGTAGATTAACTTCACCCAGAATAACCAACTAAAAAGTTAAATACCTCAGCTTGTGTGTTGGAGGTGGGGAGTAGAAGGCAGGTCTGGATAGGTTCTTCTGGTCTAATCTTCCCTTCTCAAGCCCTTTAGTAGAAGTTCTTAAACCATCAAGACGGTAAGTCCAAATTAAAGTATGGTCAAGTCTTCCCTCAGCTCAGACCTGCAGGGATAAGACTAAGAGATGCACTAATAACTATACTTAGGGCATGTGGGGTGCCTTAAGAGAGCATCAGAGTTCAAAAATGAGTTGAACTCTGGAGGAGTTCAACAGTTCTTTACACAACTACATCCAGACATCTAGTAATACTGGACATAGTATAGCATACCTTTTCCTGAGCAGGTTGGAAAATCCTTGTCTACCTCTTCCCCACAAGCTCTTTCCTTATCCAGAAAGCCTGACAGCAATGCCTATTAAGTTAGTTGAACAGGGATGATAAATTTTAATCCTACTCCAGTATACAGTATACAGTATTTGAACCTAAATTCATGCCCAGAAGAGGGTTAGGTGTAAGGGGCTTCCTGACAGTGGATAATTTTAATAGTAGAAAATGACTTTTTACCTTGGCTTGTTCTGTCTAGTGGGATGACCCTCACTGAAAGTAGCAGCTAGGATATCTTCTGAGGTTTTGTCATACTTTCTTTCAGGGTTGTTGTCAGCACTGGATCTTGTTGAAGTCAATCCTCAGTTGGCTGCTTCAGAGGAAGAGGCCAAGGCTACAGCTAGCCTGGCAGTGGATGTGATTGCTTCAAGTTTTGGGCAGACAAGGGAGGGAGGGCACATTGTCTATGACCAACTTCCAACTCCCAATTCACCAGATGAATCAGAAAGGGAAGAACGTGTGAGAATTTAGGAAATTTTGTGTGCTGACACGTTTGTCGCGAAGGACATTCCAGAATTATGAGGCATTTGAGACACTAAATGGTCTGGGTCAATACTGCCTTAAATGAGAACACTTGCGCATTCTCACAATTGTCTGCTTTCCCTCTCCATTTTGGTGACCGATAATACTACTGTAAATTTGTGTGTTTTTTGGCAGTTCACAGGGTATTAATATGTTGGAATACTATGTAAATTTAAAGAAGTCATAAATAGCATTTATTACGTTGGTATATCATACTGGTCTCATTGCTGTTCCTCCACAGTTACGTGGTTTTCTGTCTCCCCTCTCACCTCCCACAGTCTGGCATCCTCGAACCATTACCTCACAGCAGCACTATGCTTCTTTCCCATCTCTAACACCATTTGTTCAGAGGGTCAAAGTTCTGGTCCACAAACCCTTCCCTCTAGGAAGTTCAATGCTTGCGAAAGAATTTGTAGTAAACCAGGCCCCCTAGGATGGCCAGCTCCAGTAAGATGACGATGGAAAGTAGCAGCTTATTGGTTGTCACTCTACAAAGAGAAGCAAAGTAGGGAACAGTCAGAAGTCTGGATGACCTTATTTCTTTCCATTCTTAATACTTAGGGGTTTGACCCTGTGGCCAAGGCTGAATACTGTGAGGCAGATTGAATTTTTTTTTTTTCTAAATCACATAGCCACTCAAGCAGTTCTTTAGCTGGTAAGTGACAACTTGAAAGCTTTTTTCAATTGTAACTTAAGGATAACCCCACATTGGCTCTAGAGATTACTTAAATATGAACAATGAGATTTTTATTTAATATACATTTTTATAAACAGCTCCTCCTAGAAAAGTGGGGTTTTTTTTGTTTTTGTTTTTCCTTAAAGTAGGCTCCACACCCAACATGGAGCCCAAACTCACAAACCCCAAGATCAAGAGTTGCACGTTCTACCAACGGAGCCAGCCAGGTGCCCTGAAAAATATCATTTTCTGAAATCAGGTTGAATCATATTTCAAAAAAGAGAAATATAATACCACTAACTACTTTTCCTCCACCAACCCAAATGGATATCTTTATAAAGGCAGTATAAGACCTTCAAAAATTTACTCTATGTTAACATAAAGAATCCAATCTCTGGTTCTCATGTTAACTCTAAACTGAAGGTTTCCTCTTGTTTGACAAGGCATTTACCATTGTTTAGGAAAATCTCACTCTTACTAGTTCCATGGTTCGGGATAGTTTTGTTTTGTGCATACTACCCACTTCAGGGTTTTTTTTTTTTTTTTAAAGTCAACTTTTTGCTAATAGGACAGAACTCCCTGACAACGGGTTGACTCCTATGAAGGATAAGCAGAGCCAAAAGCAAGTACTAAGCAGTAGCAGTAAAAAGTTTTTTTCTAACCAAGTTTACACAAATATATTTCAAGGAATATGAAGCTCTATTATTCCCATGTGCTCTGAAAAATCTTAAGCTGGGATTCAAAGTGGACAAATTTCTTACTGCTCCAAGTCAGAGCAGCATATACTTTATTTGAGAGAGCACAGTGCAGGGGAGGAGCAGAGGGAGGGGGTGAAGCAGATTCCCTGCTCAGCAGGGAGCCTGATCCTGGGACCAAAGGCAGACGCTTAACCAAATGAGCCAGCCAGGCGCCCCAGAGCAGCATATACTTTTAACAAAGGATTTTGTCCCGGGATATTTAACTGGACAAGATAATACTTTATTCTTTCTGCTTTATCAGGACCTTTACAAGTCACTGTTTAATGTCTTAGTCACAAAATTTCTCTTAACTCTATTTTGAAAACTTACTTTCTGGACATTGAACGGAGAATCTTTCGACTTTTGCTCAAGTTTTCACTTGTGTTTACCAGCTGAGAAGAGAAAACAGCAATTATTCCCCCCTTCTAAAAGTACATACTGTAGAACTTGGAGGTTTCTAAACTGACAGTGGGCACTAAAGGGAGTGTGCTGAAAAACTCCCTCAAACCAATTTGAATGATGGCCTGAGTATATGTAGAAGAAACTGGAAAGGACAAGATACTTTAGTACTGGATAAGTAGGCTTAGGAATTATTATACCCCAAGGTTACCGTGGGGAACTCCTGGGACCAAACTAATCCTTCACCTTGGCTACTCAAAACAAAAAAAGGCCTCAAATGTACTTTGCCAGTAACTGTGAGGCAAATTCAGATTTCATCAGGCAAACTCCAAGGGAGCCTCTTGAGGTTTTGTTTTTGTAGGCTGGTGGATTACCACTTTTGGGATCTGGTTGTTTTGTTTTGTTTTTATCCCTCTTACAGACAAACGGAATTCTGAAAGGAATCCTTTTAAAAGCTTTTTTAAAAATTATGTCCTTTTGATTGCCTGTTAATATCTAGATAGCTGGGGGATATTTCAACAGATGCCCCCTGCCATCTGTTCCCATACCCCAGTGGCCATAAGTAAGTTGATCCCTCAGCTCATCTCTTGGCTTTTAAATTCAACCAATCTACCTGATGTGTTCAAAAGTCAAACACCACACAGTCTGTAAGCAAGTTGCCTTCTCTACAGTTTACCTTGAATTCCGTGTTTGTGAATTTTTACTGAGGAGGGAAGAGCATCATTCTGATTTAAGAATGGAGAATTGCAGCTCTTAGGATATGAGAAAATCTTCTCCAGTCCCCACACGGAGGAAGTCATCCAAGTCTTGCCGACAGTATCTGTTCTTCAATTTGTATTTGCCTCATAATGTTAAGAATATAACATTCTATTGGCAAACTGTACTATTTTTAAAATTTCTATGCAGGTGTATGGAAAGGGAGAAATGAGGTGTTTTCAGAGGACTTGATATAGTTATCTGGCCTAAGTTATTTCCCATTTTCTTCCACAATGATCTAGCTTACCTTGGGTAACAACAGAGTTATATAGTTCAGGACTGAACCTCTAAATTATCAGCGGTACTATTTTATGACCTGTGGAAAACAGCCTTGGATCTAAAGGACAAAAAAACTAGGAATGTTTAGGTAGATGGTGCTTTCATAAGAACAGCATAATATCCTACTAGATGTATGAGAAAAATCTCAGGTTGGTAACCTAGAAATTAAAGGATAGAGTGGCTACAATCTTGGATTTGACAATCTTCCACAAATGCAGAAACTGGTTTCTTCAGTCTTTTTTTTTTTTTTTTGCCTCCAATGACCTCTAAATCCAAAGGGTAAAATTACTTTCAAGAGAGATCCCTCAGCCAAGGAAAGTATAAGCATCTAAGAGGTCCTAACCCTGAATTCTGAACTGCCGTAGCTTCTGGCAGTGGCAAGGCATCAGGATATAAGGGGCCCGCCTCCTTTCCCCTATCCGCTCAGACTTACCCTACTCTTAGTACGCTCCAACTGGTCACGTTGTTCCCCGAGCTCTTCTATGATTTCTGAGCCAATCTGGTCAGTCTCTGTAGCAATCCGATGAGAACGCTCAATACTCTGGGTGGCCCGGTTCAGACTGTCCGTGCCTTGCAGAAGCAACACCCTTTGAGACTGTAGCTGGTTCTGATGGGAACCGGACAGCAAGGAAATATTAGACATCTTCCATTATAAGTTCATTTGCCAGCACATGACTTGTGATCCTTCCGATGTAAGAAGGGATATTGCATGTACAGTAATTTTCATTACTTTTAAGACTTTAAAAGATACTAATCAACCATAAGAGTATTAGAATCCAGCACAAGATCACATACCTCTCATGTCACTGCTTGTTATACTTATGTGAGGCAAGAAAAGAATTAAAAACATTAGAGTATTTCCCCTGTGTTCGTGATGAATTTGAACTGATTTCATGTGCTTTGTGGACTAACAACTTCTGAGAGGCAGTGGGCCCGATTTGAGGTGCAGGAGCTACCTGAATATACGTACAGCCTATAACTGTTGACAGGACAACAAACCAACTAAACTCCACAGCCTAGAAATAGATTAATTCACTGAAGATTTCCACCTGACTGGTACTGAGGATTGAGGGACCATGAATAAGCTATTCATTTGCAGCACATACAGAAATCACTTAGAAATTTGAAACACTATCACATTTTGGAAGACACTTATGTGGTTACAGTCTTGGAAACCCAAAAAAGAATTTCAACCCAGGTCAAACAAAACAAAACTCTGAAGTTGCCACACTGGTGACTGCTCTCAGGGGCCAAGTAAGCTGCCCTAATTTCCCAAGTGCCCTAATTTTCTAAATCCCTGCCAAAGTTTTACTTCGCCTATAATCCCAAGCACAGAAGACATGATAACAGAAGTAGCCTTTGTCAACCGGAATTAACCACTGACAAATGGGTACAGCTAAGTTCTTCGCTATTCAAAGCACTTACACACACACACTCACAAAGGGTTGGTTCACAAGGCCTATTACTAAACAGGTGACCACTAGCACTAGATACCACCATCAAGAAACCAAAATATTGACTTTCCAGATAAGTAACAAGTCTTTTCATATATGGCATACAGACCAGTGGATGATGGAACCACTGAATGACACTGAAATAAACCCCAGTTACTTTAGCTTAAAAGAATAAGGCTTTTTTAAAATAAAAGATGGAGATTTTTAACTGATTAGACTGAAGAGCAGGAAAAGACAGTAAGATCATATAAATCAACCCCAGGTTTGGAACAATAATACCACTGAAGGTGGTATGTTATGTCTAAATTGTCCTTATAATTTCTGAACCTAGTAATTTTAAAGCAAATTATTGTTTGGCTTTATCTCCCCTTTTTGTTGTTGATTTTTGGTAACAAATGCCCAAAGTCACTTTATACCTCTCATCTTACTTTAACAAGCTCCACCTGACTGCCTTTTCCCAGTCTTTCTTCACAACTGAATTTTGAAACGTTTCTATCATTCTCTCTAGTTTTGACATCAGCAATGTCAGGCCAGTATCATCTGAATGTCTTTTGAACCATAATCAGGATGCATCACGAAACAGGATTGTTTTAACACTGCACTATTAGCCTTTCTACATACGTGCAGTCTATACTTGTGGGCCCCATCCATTTCTCTCCCACGCTGCCTGCCGGGCCACTTGCCAGGCCATTTCTACTTTGTACAGTGGAGTATAATCTCAAATGCAATACATTTAATCTTTGTGAACTTGTCCAGCTTCTCTAGACAGTTTGAGAATATAGATTTTCAATTGTCAGTCTAATTTTATAAATCAGAATACTGGAGTCTAGAAAGGCAGTCTCGCTGGCTTTCCATTACAACTGAGTAAGCCGTTTTTAAAAAAAAAAACAAAAACAACTGAGTAAGCCGTGAGCTCCCTCCTGAAAGCATCCTGCCTTCTCTACTATGTCTCTGCTGTTGGACCATCTTGATATAAATGTAAAAAAAAGCTTGGGTTAATTTGTAACAATATTCTGGATAAATTAAAAACCTAACTGAATTTTTTGAGCATAAGTGAAAAACTAGATCAATGCGTCAGAATACAAAGTCTGGATATAGTAAGAATAGGTAACACTTGTACTCCTCCACTAAGTACCAAGCACTGTTTTATAAAAGATAAAAAGAAATCTAAGTAAGCATGGTTTGGAAAGATCTGCATTAAATACCCAAGAGGAGAAGGGGAGCTGGATACAGGAAACAGGTGGAAAGAACAAGAGTCTACTACTACGCACTGATAACATAAACTGTACCCTACAACATGGCTAATTTTTGTGCCACAGGCCCTTCAGGGGAAAAAAACAGCTGAAGCTTACCATATGCTCATTCTCTACAGCATATGAGCCATACTTCATGTCCCCTCGGCCCCCAGGTGTGGCTGTCAAAGGTGTGCTTCTCACTTCCCGATGGAGTTTGGCAAGGTCCTTCCGGTAGGTCCGAAGCTTAGACATCATAGGGTTACGGAAAGATAAAGGTGCATAACGTAGTTCCTCTTCCATCTCTGCCAGCTAGGAGGGCAGAAAGTAGTGAGTAGATGGGCTGCGTTTTTTTCTCTCTCATCTGGGCATATGCCTAGTTTGGACTAATCAAACCGCAGACAACTGCAAGTAAGTACTCAAGCATATGTTCCACGAAGGCAGGGATCACATGTGACATGTTGACCTCGTTTCTCTGAGTGCCTGGCACAGCGCCCAGCATGCAGAGAACAGGCATTCAAAAAGTATGTGATGAGTGAGTGAAAAAACTAACAAGCACCTTATTTCCTATTAAACATTTTTATATACATTACCCTATTTAATCCTCATTTAATCTTTCCTGTCCTCAATAAGGTAGGAGATACTACTTCTATTTCATATACAAGAATTGAAGAAATCTGCTCAAGATTCCACAAATCTTCAAATTCCCTTTTCAGTATAACAAATTTTTCGTTTGTTATGGTTCAAGTGCTATCATGAAGCACTTTGAAGTCTACTATACTAAAAATGATAGGGGTCTGGCAGCAAGGTTCTTCCTTCCTCTTCTTTCTGAAAATCAGTCATCTGTCTCCATGTCCTAGATAACCAGGGTCCAAACCAGATTTCCATTTTATTGGGTAAGTAAAATGTAATACCCAGACATGTTCACAAGAGGCCATGAATTATTTTCATCCGCCTGGGATGGCCAGAGTTGGACTGGTTAATTTTGCTAATGTCTTTGTAGAGGTCTTTTAAAACAGAAGGGAATGTGGCTACAACCACTTATGAGGTACATTTTTTGTGATTTAGTAAGTTTAAAAGAAGAATAACTGATTTTAATGGCCAGCTTTTTATTTTTGAGAGAGAGAGAGAGAGAGAATGCGGGGGAAGGGCAGAGGGCGAGAAAGAATCCCAAGCAGGCTCCATGCCCAGCACGAGCCAACTGGGACTCAATCCCATGACCCTGAGATCATGACCTGAGCCGAAATCAAGAGTTGGGGACACCCAACTAAGCCACCCAGGCACCCCGACGGCCAGCTTTTTAAATGAAATTTTATGTATTTTATTTATTTTTTAAAGATTTTATTTATTTGACACAGAGAGAGAGAGAGAGCACAAGTGGGGGAAGGGCAGAGGGAGAAGCGGACTCCCCGCTGATCAGGGAGCCTGGCACAGGGCTCATTACAGGACCCTGAGATTACGACCTGAGCCAAAGGCTGACACTTAACTGCTTGAGCAACCCAGGTGCCCAAATTTTATTTTTTTTTTAAAGATTTATTTATTCATTTTAGAGAGCATGCATGGGGGGGGGGCAGAGGGAGAAAATCTGCAAACAGACTTCCCCCTGAATGCAAGCCTGATGCAGCCCAATCCCATGACCCAGGAGATCATGAACCCAGCTAACACCAAGACTTGGATCTTAACCAACTGAGCCACCCAGGTGCCCCTAAATGAAATTTTAAAAAACCACCCAGGTAAAGGTTTGAGAATGCCCTTACTACTCATATCAGGAATGTATTATATCAAAGACTCATTTTAAGACAGTATCCAAGCTTTACCCATTTGTGTTTGTCAAACTCCCTCATCACTCACCCCATCAATTGGCTTATTTAGTAAGAAATAATCAAAATCAAGATCAACAGACAGGAACAGTTAATCTGTGATCAGGTAATAAGCATTACTTCTGGAAAAGACTAACTCCAGGTAGAAGAAGTAAGGATTTGCTCCCTGTTCTCACCGTTTCATTTGCTTCCTGTTGCTTTTCATCAAAATCTCTGATCAGCTTCTTCTTCTCTTCTGGAAAAGATAGACAAGTTTCAAGTGCTCAGTCCTGTTTTCATATATTTGTAGAGGTCATTCCCTCTGCTTAGAATAAACTGCCCAACCTTCCCCTGATGGAGCTAGTAGTACTTAATCAATTATCTCTAAAAAGTACTTTTTAAAGTTTTTTACTTTTTTTTGAGAGAGAGCTAGCACGCATACATGCCAGCTGGTGGGGGTGGGGGTGGGGAGGAGGATGGAGAGAGAGAGAATCTTAAGCTGGCTCCACAACCAGCACAAGCACAACATGGGGTGGGGCTGGATCTCTCAATCCTGAGATCATGACCCAAGCTAAAATCAAGGAGTCGAATGCTTAACCGACTGAGCCACCCAGACACCCCTAAAAAGCATTTAGAAATGTACTGGAACTTGTTATCACAACGATGGGGGAGGGGAGAGGGTGGATATTATGAATGGTATGTAGTGCCCAGGGAACAAAAATACCCATGCTTGGGACACTCCTGCATGACAATTATCTGGCCCCAAAGGTCTAAGAAACACTACAGGTCTAAGTTAATCACTGTCAATTGATTTTCCCCTAGAGGGATCAGGCATGCCTTCATCAACAAGAATGTTTAGCAACACTGATTCTTTTAAATCCCTGTCCCACTTTCACCTCCACTGTAAAACAGTTCTCTATATTAACCCTTATCCACTGCTTTTCTGCAAAACAAATTCAAAACTCACCTACTCTGCTTGCTGGGGAGAGTGCATGGCATGGTACATATTTCTTGGCCATGCCCACTGGTGGTAATACGTAAAACGATGCAAATACCACTGACTCACAGTGAGAAAGTCATTCCCCTTTCAATTCTGTTTCAGTCCTTTGCATCTTGTCATTTTGTCTTTATATGCTTAACGAACTAGTAATGTCTTTAATACCTAAAAATAACTAATTTCTTTAAACAAAAATAGAATAGGCTGCAGCTGCCAAGCAGTAACATTTAACTAAAACAGCAATGTTTTGCCTTCACTGTATTTTTATGATCATTTAGAGAGGTTTGAAAGACTTTCCACTGAACAGATATACATACATACATACATATATGTATCATTCTATCCAAAAACAGTACACATTCAAGTGCACATGGAATATTCTCCAGGACAGATATTAGGCCACATATTAGGCCACAAAACAAATCTCAGTAAATTTTAAAAAACTGAAATTTTATCATGCATCTTTTCCGGCACAATGGTACGAAGCTAGAAATCAATCACAGAAAAAATTTGGAAAGAACACATATATGGAGGCTAAATAACATGCTACTAAACAATGAATGGGTCAACGAAGAAATCAAACAGTACATCAAAAAATACATGAAGACACAAGTGTTGGCGAGAATGTAGAGAAAAAGGAACCCTCAAGCACTGTTGGTGGGAATGCAAACTGGTGCAGCCACTGTGGAAAACAGTATGAAGGTTCCTCAAAAAGTTAAAAATAGAACTACCCTACGACCCAGTAAATCTACTACTATTTGCCCAAAGAAAACAGAAACGCTGATTCGAAAAGATATATGCATCCCTATGTTTACTGCAGCATTATTTACACTAGCCAAGAAACATGGAAGCAATCCAAGTGTCCATCCCAGATGAATGGATAAGATATGTCTCTCTCTCTCTCTCTCTCACACACACACACACAGGCATATTACTCAGCCATAAAAAAATAATTAAATCTTGCCATTTGCAACAACGTGAACGGATCTAGAGGGTATATTAAGTGAAATAAGTCAGTTGGAGAAAGACTAATACTATATGATTTCACTCATATGTGGAATTTAAGAAACAAAAACAAACAGACAAAAAACAGATGCTTAAATATAAAGAACAAACTGTTCATGTCCAGAGGGGACGAAGAAGGGGGGGATGGGGAAAACAGGCGAAGGGTTAAGATTAGATTACACTTATCATCATGAGCACTGAGTAATGTATAGAATTGCTGAATCACTATATTGTACACCTGAAGCTAATATAACACTGTATGTTGACTATACTGGAATTAAAAAAAAAATGCATGGAGACCAATGAAACACAATGGTCCAAAATTGTTGGGATGCAGCAAAAACTGTTCTAAGAGGGAAGTTTATAGCAATACAGGCCTACCTCAAGAAATTAGAAAACTCTCAGAGAAATAACCTAATGTTACACCTAAAGGAAACAGGGAAAGAACCAAGTCCAAAGCCAGTAAAAGGAAGGAAATAATAAAGATTAGCACAGAAATCAATAGAGGTAAGAACAAACTGAAACAAAACCCCCAAAACGATAGAGTGCCTTACACCTAAAGGAGCTAGGAAAAGAACAAGAAATAAAACCTAAAACCAGCAGAAGGAAGGAAATAATAAAGATTAGAGCAGAAATAAATGATATAGAAACAAAAACCAATAGAACAGATCAATGAAACCAGGAGCTGGTTCTTTGGAAAAAAAAAAATCAGTAAAACTGATAAACCTCTACCCAGACTTAACAAGAAAAAAAGAGAAAGGACTCAAAATCACAAATGAGAGAGGAGAAATAACAACCAACACCACAGGTATACAATTATGAGAATATTATGAAAAACTATATGCCAAAAAACTGGAAAGCCTAGAAGAAATGGATAAATTCCTAGAAACATATAAATTACCCAAATAAATAAATAAAATCTTTTTAAAAAGAGGGGGCACCTGGGTGGCTCAGTCGTTCAGCGTCTGCCTTCTACTCAGGTCACGATCCCAGGGTCCTAGGATAGAGCCCCACATCGGGCTCCCTGCTCAGCGGGAAGCCTGCTTCTCCCTCTTCCACTCCCCCTGCTTGTGTTCCTGCTCTCACTATCTGTCAAATAAATAAAATCTTTAAAAAAAAAAAAAAAACAGAAACACACAAATTACCAAAACTGAAACAGGAAGAAATAAAAAATTTGAACAGACTGATTACCAGCAAAGAAACTGAATCAGTAATCAACAGAATCCCAACAAACAAAAGTCCAGGACCAGACGGCTTCACAGGCAAATTCTAGCTAACATTTACAGAATAGATAATACCTATTCTTCTCAAACTATTCCAAAAAAATAGAAAAGGAAGGAAAACTTCTAAATCCATTCTAATCCAGCACTACCCTGATATCAAAATCAGATAAGGACACAACAACAACAACAAAAAACTACAGGCCAATATTCCTGATGAACATAGATGTAAAAATTTTCAACAAAATACTAGCAAACCAAATCCAACAATACATTAATGAGTCATTCGCCACAATCAAGTGGGATTTATTCCAGGGATTCAAGGATGGTTCAATATTTGCAAATGAATCAACGTGATATAGCACATCAATAAGAGGAAGGATAAAAAGCCATATGATCACCTTAGTAGAAGCAGAAAAAGCATCTGACAAAGTACAACATCTGTTTATGATAAAAACTCTCAACAAAGAAAACAATTAAGTAACAGTAAAAATGGTACAAGGAAGTACTGGTATGATATCACCTGGTAAACATTTGTGTAAGAGGGAACCACCGGTGAGCAAAGGGGGTTAGATTTGGGACCTTTCCTTGGGATAAGCTTGGATAATAATTCTTCTTTTCTTTGGGACCTGACCTCCTTCTTTAGCTATAAAACAGGAGGCAGGTCATGCCTTCATATGTAACAAGCAAAAATTAGCCCTACTTATGAACAGTTTGATTTCTAAAAATGTATGCGTCCATATGAATACTCTCCCTGAAAATCTACATATAATCAATCTACTTATTACCAAAAAGTTACCACTGCTTACATTGTTTTTTTGAGTTCATCTTTTGGTATTACTTTTACAATCTGGGAATACGGTCATTTTTTTTTTTATTTTGGTAAAATTTATATAACATAAAATTTACCATTTTGACCATTTTTAAGTATACAGCTAAGTGTCAGTAAGTACATTCACATTGTTGTGCAACCATCAACACTACCCCATCTCCAGAACCTCACCACCAAAACTGAAACTCCATACCCAAAGAACACTAATTCTCCGCTTCCTATTCCCCCAGACTCTGGTAACCACCATTTTACTCTCTCTGTATCTATGAATTTGATTAGTCTAGGTATCTCCTAGAAGAGGAATCATAAGATATTTGTCCTTTTGTGTCTGGCTTATTTCATTTAGCATAATGTCCTCAAGTTCATCCATGCTGTGTCATTTGTGCAGACATGGTCTTTTAAAGCTATATTATTTTTCATTCATTGTGACTCCTAAATACAAGCTAGCACTTCATCAACTGAAAAAAGAGCAATTTTATTCAATGCCAAAGAAAACAGCTGAGTTGGGCTTATGGAGGGATGGCACATGGGTATTCAATATGCTGTCCTCAGATTTTCTTGGCTAATTTTCTTTACCCTGGTTTTCATCTTAAGCATTCGAATGCAATCCCATATAAGATCTAATACCAAGGTAATGCTTTATATGGATTTACATTTTGTTAATCACAACAGCATCTATCATGTTTTTTAAGTGATCATGAGCCATTCTGGATGTGTACATTTTATATTCGCAACTGGAGATCAAGCTCCTCCGGAACAGGGAAATTTACTTTTTCTTTTATAAATCCCATAGCTTCTAGAACTCTAAACCTGGTAGTGTGTTCCTGAGATGTTACTACTGCCTGCAAGAGCAAATGACAATGCACCCTTTACTATACCTCCTTCATTGTCATGTGACATACCCTTAATACACACAAGACACTCCAAGTGAACTATTTCTCACTCCACACAGCTCACAAAACCAAGGTTTTGTTGTTGTTTTAAATAGGAGAAAGTTCAGCCATGGCAAATGGTTTGCATCTTGACATCCATGATGTAACTAAAGTAAGCACAGAAGCAGCTGTCACTATCCCTGAGTAGTGTTTTCAGCCACCAGCAGTGAAATAATATCTGCAATCAAGAATGGCTACTTCCACGGAAAGGTATCCTATTACTCCATAATAAGCTGTCGCTGAGTGTCACCGCTCCTCTGAATAGGCACA